ATAATACTTTTGTGTAAAGTGCTTACTTTATCACAGGTCATCATTTATTATACCACAACGACTCAGTTTGTTACTATGCTTAATTTCTCTCCTGTAGATAAGGGTGGATGGAATAGTGGGACTGCATCTGGAATCAGAAACTTCTGTTAATTATTAAGCACAATTTCTTTTTAAAATATTTACTTTTCTATATGCTTTAACATTAGTGCAACATTTTATTAATGTCAATTAACTTAATGCTGTGTAATTAAAAGATTGTACTTGTTTTTTTGTCTGTGAGATAAACATAGAAATGGTTTAGTTTTAAGATATTCCTTTCATATTACTAGAATAATAAAATATTATGTTAAATTACTTCATGTTGTTATGAACCTTTAATTTGGATAGAATTTGATGCTCTTCATTTTGGCATTAATTTTTTTATTCATATATATGTATATATATAATTTTAACAATGTTTTACTAGAAAAATTTAAAATTCTTTATTAACTGAACGTTATAATATGTACTTTAAATTATTTATTTAAATTATTTAGACAAATTATTTAAATTATTAATCATAGTAAAAAAATGTAATCTAGACCTCCACTTTATTTCTTAGAACTACTGTAGCAAAAAGTATAGAAGTTATAGAAGACATTTTATATTCTTAAAAAGTGAATAAAAGTTTCTAAAATACGTAGTCATAGTTGAAAAACATTTTGCTTATTTTTTTATCTCAAAAATCTTCTTGCATTAATTATTTCAAACTCCTAGTGGCAATTCTGCATATGCTACTTGTAGACAAAAAGGTATTTTTTAAAAAACGATTTGATTGTCATTTTCATGAAAACAGCCTTAATATTAGGCAATTTCTTGTTGTGGAAAAAATTAAGGTTTTATGACTTAGAAACAATCAAATTTAGAAATCCAAATATATGTCTGTATAATTCCTTGCAAGGTGTTTGTTAATATTTCATCTTTAACAAATTGTTACTAAGTATGTGTTAACATTCATATTTGATTAAGAGCATGAAATAGTTACTTATGTGAAAGTTGAACTAGCATAGAAAACCACTTCAATAATGATGCAAGAAGCCATCTTTAAAAGATTATCTAAAGATCAAAAGCTACAACACTGTTGTTGGACAATCTAAGGACTTCTCTAAATTTTAAATGAATGCCATCAAGGGAATTCTCATCTTATCTGCATTGTTTATGAAGCTTGCTAATTCTTTTTTCCTTTATACTCCCATCCTGGCTGCTAAATTCCTGTTTCTGTGAAAATGTTGAAAAATGAAAGCAGGTGGTCCACATAGCTAGCTCAGACACCTACGTGTCAGTCATGCCTGTCTCAACACTTGTTCTTTAAACCAGGATTTTTAAGGGAGGAAAGAGAAGGGAACTCATCGATGGGGATATTTTTCTGGATACGTATTTTTCCATAATCCTTGAAACATAGCTTTGGGATTTTTCTTTAGACTGTTGGAATGATTACTTTCTTGGAATAAAGAGTTTACTGATGATTACTTAATGAGCAATTATTAAAGGACAACTAATGAAGTCCTTCCAGCAATGGCTTTTAATTGGGAGGTAGAATGTAGTTTAAAAATATTTAGTTGGAAATATTTAATTGGAATTTGTGAAGAAGATTATGAGGAAGAGTGAGATTTTTTTTAAATTAAGGGCCCTACCAGCAGGACACTCAGAACTCCATACTTTTGAGGGAGACTGTACCTCTGAGAGCAAGCTGCACCCCAAAGTTTCACACTAATAAAAATTACCTAGTAGCCAATAATGGATGAAAAGTGTGCTTCAGAGGGGCCAAGCCTCATCCTTGTTTACAGCAAGCATAAAACCAGATTTCTAATCCGCCCAAGCGACAATCACCTATTGATTGCAAGGACATCTGTGCCCCTGTTTTTGGAAGCAGGGTTTTCATCGCGGCAGGCCTGAAAAATCCATCCATTTTGGTGCTGTGTACAACAAACACCCAACAGAGCTGTCAGGAAGCAGCCTTGAAACCCACACCTGGGCGCACTGCTTTTTCTTTTTCTCTTTCTTTCCTTCTTTCTTTCTTTCTTTCTTTCTTTCTTTCTTTCTTTCTTTCTTTCTTTCTTTCTTTTTTAACCTAGGGCAGGACCCAATTAAAAGTCCTCCCCTTCACCTTCAGAAGTTACTCCTTCAGGATTGCAATCAAGGCAGAAGCATCTCAGAGCTCCTGTGGCACCCTTTTGCAGACAAAGGCTCAGAGGCTTTGTGCACCACCATATACAAGCTCCTCCACCCCAGTCCACCCCTCTGTGTCCTGAACTCAGTTCAACTGTGAGGCAGGACCAGGAACTTAAAGATCAAAGCCTCTTAACCTTTTCTTACTCTAGAGCTTCCTGGGAATAAATTTTCTTAAATACACAGGTGAAGCAGGGTGGGGGAAAGATTTTGAAAGAAGTTGGTGGTGGGTTCTGTTTGGTGGGTTAGTACTCTCAGGAAACAGTGGGGAATCACTCAATTCCAGACTACTTGCTTTGTACAAAGCGCCCTGGCTCCGGACACTTGGCCAACTGCAAATCAGACCAAAGCACTGATGGGATCACCTGGGAATGGAAACCATGGGAAAGGGGTAGGTGAGGGATGGATGCGGGACAAAGCCAAATTCAAAACCTGCCCCACCCGCATATGTACTCTGCTTGGTGGCCCAGCACAAGCAGAAGTGGATTTATTTCAGGCTTTCATCTCTCAAGTTCACACTCAAGTTCAATCCCAACTCCCACAAGCTTCTGAGTAGTCTGTATCTTTTCTTATAACAGCTCCTGATGCAGGCAGGGCATTGCCCCCAAGGTGATAGAAGGTCAGTAGAGAGACAGTGAAGGGATAGAAGTGAGCCAGGAAAGGTAGGACAGAGACTTGGCCCTCTCTTTCGGTCCAGCAGGACCTCAGGCTGCCTCTGTACCCTAAATTAGAATGTGCAAGGCCTCCTGGAGCATGGTGTCTTTTAGGACAAGGGTGTGGGTCGCACTCTGTTTCTTAAGTTCACTGCTTGCATCCACAGGCACAACTGTAAGGGACTCGGACTGTGCTCAGCAGACAGCTTCTGTAGGAGCTTTCTAGCGAACATGTAGCACACTCTGCGCCCCTTCCCACTCCACACTGTAGGAAGGAAACCAGCAGCCTTTATGCCCCAGGTCCTAGTGCCGCTATGAACCGCTGTGACACGTGGTTTAGGATTTTCAGAAAAAGTATGAACCCAGCCACAGGGCTGATGTCGGGAGGGGAGGCAAAAGGGAAAGACAGGCTGGGAGTTTCAGACAGGAGCAAAGGAAACCAGAGGAAAGTGGACTGGATGATGAAGGACAGAAAAAAACCGAAGAATGGGGAGGCTCTCGCTAAACATCAGTGCTTTATTGCCAACTGCTCAAGTACAGTTTGTTGCAGGAATCTGGCTACTGGGACATGTAACTAACCCCTAACCCAGAAAATCAGCTCCAGCTACCTAGCACGCTCGGATCCCCCAACCACACGCGAGGGTTAATCTACACTGTCCCACCAGTACATCCTTGTCCCCTGTCTACACTTGTCCTCTTGCATTCCACGGGCAGCTCCTTTCTTCTTGTCCCTCTATCACCTTCCCTTTCCTGCTACATCCAAAAGTCCAAGCCGATAAACCCATTCTGTGCCTCTGAGGCCGCGCTCAGGGTTCACCCAACGCCTGCGGGGTGCAGGAAAGCTCATTGTTTCTCGGGGAGCTTTTCAGAGATACAGGAGGAATGGTGGAAGAGGAACGAAGCCGTCGGAAGGCGAGGTTTTGCAGCCTGGTGCTCGCCAGTGCTTCCTGTCTCGGTCACCTCTTTCCAACCTTGACAGTGTGGGAAGGTCCGGAGCTGACTATTCCCAACTTTCTGTTGCCAGAATCCGGAAGGTTGGGAGACGGGGAGAAAAGAGCTCCCAAAGAACAGCAGGGTAGCCAGGAACAGGAACTAGAAGGTAAGGGTACTTATGGGCGCTCAGATCCTTAAGACAAACGGAGACTCGGCTGTCTTTTCCACAAACTCGTAAAGTTGTGACCAACCAGAGGGTGTGGGTGTGGGGTCCCAGCACAGAGCGCAGGAGACCTAGAGGTCCCCCCACATCAAAGAGAAGGAAACATAAAAATGACTCCCCAGAGTCCCCGGTCAGCCGCTCAAGAATCCCAGAGTGCGATCACCGCAGGTGTTTCAATTCCGTCCCGAGCGCGCCGCCCCGAAGCGGCCCTTTGCCCCTGGGTCCTGCCTTGGCCCGCACTCTCGGCGGCTGGGGTCCAGTCCTTAGGGCGCAACCAGCGTTGCCTCCCGCAGGTGCCCTTCATCTGACAGAAGGGCAAGAGCCCCTGATTCCTGTGCCGACGCGCGGGGCGCGGCCTCTATTCTCCGGAACTTTTTCGCTACAACTTTTTTTGGGTAGCGCTGGTCCCCGGGCTGCGCGGACGCAGATAGCGCCGGGCGGGCTATGGCGCAGAAGTGACGCCTAGGAGAGCTCAGGAGCTGATTCCCCGTCCGCGTAGTCCCAGGACCCTCTGGCTGGCAGCCGAGCGCAGGGACGAGCTTGAGGCCAGGGCGCTCGTGGGCCCGGCACCCAGGCAAATGCGTGTGCCGAGGCGCGTCCGCCCTGCGCTCTGCACGTCCAGCCTCCGCCCGTGGCCACTGCGCGCGGGGCGCTGCCAGCTGCGGGTGCCCGAGTTGCGCGCCTCGCGCTCCCGCAGCCTTAGCTCGCTTCTGCGCCCGAGGCAGAACGCCACGCAAAACGGATTGGGGCAACTCGAGAACTGAGAGCAAGCAAGTAGCGCCGCTCCCCTTTCCTGAAAAAGCGCTTTCCCGCGTCCCAGAAACTCTCCCGAGAGGCACGGGCGCCTCCCCACAACTTTCTCCGCCCGTGCCCTCTGCAGCCCCACCTGCTAGCGCCGTCTCGCGCGGCGCTTCCCCTCCCCCACTGCCCATCCGCTGGAGTTGGCCGGGTCCGGGCGCCCTCGGAGCCGCGAGCTCGCTTACCTCGCATGGTGTGGCCGCTGTCCTGCTCCGCGTAGTCATGAAGCTGCTGCCAGCCCGAACCCCAGAGAGCCCAAAAATCCCGCTCAGCACGCGTGGAGAAGGGGGCCAGCGACCAGCAGCCGCTCCGCGGGCACCATCCCTCCGGGCGCACTCCGCGGCCGCAGGCTGACGGGGGCCGCCGCCGGGTTCAGCGCTGACGGTGGCGGTGGTGACTGTTTTGATGGCTGTTGGTTTGTTTGTTTGCTTTCAGAAAGGGTGAAAAAAAATGTCCTGGGCGATTGGTGCCTGGGTTTTGTTTTGCTTTTTTTCTTTCTCTCCAGTGTGCTTGCTTTTTGAAAATGTCACCGCCTCCGGGCTCAGAAGATTTCTTTTGTGATCACTGGGACTGAGGAGGAGGAGGAGGAGGAGGAGGAGGAGGAGGAGGAGGAGGAGGAGGAGGAGGAGGAGGAGGAGGAGGAGGAGGAGGAGGAGGAGGAAGGGCAGAAGCAGGAGGAGGAGTTGGTGGTGGTTTTGTTAGTTACAAAGAGGGAGAAGGAGCAATAGGGGGAAAAGGAAACAGAAGAGAAAGAAAGGCAGCGTGGATGGCAGAGCATGTGCGTTTTCACATGACATCTGTGCCTGTTAGCAGATCCACGATGTTAATTTTCACTGTTCAGTTACAGAGAGGAAGGGAGCGAGAGAGAAAGAGGAGAGAGATGGAGAGAAGGAGCCGAGAAGAGGCTTATACGCCGGCCCGGGTTCCGCGGAGACTTCAGGCCCCGCCTCCTGTCAGCGCCGCAACCAATTAGCGCCCGGAAGCGCTCTCAGAGGCGGGGCTACAGGGCGGGGCGGCGGGAGGCGGGGCGGGGCTGAGACCCGCGAGTGGGGAGGCTGCGGCCCCTGAGGATTGGCGGCTCCGCGGCGGGCGGAAGTGCCGGGGGGAGCGTCGGACGGATCTGCAGGTGACTCGCGGTTCTGTCTCCGAGAGCCTAGCGGGGGAACGCTGGCCAGTCCTTTCCGAGGCCCAGAGCTACGGAGGCTCGCGGCTCCCAGGTTCTGTCCCTCTCTGGCGACGCCTGTGGCCCCGTACTTAGGCGTAACCTGGTGGCAGCTGTTACAGGGGACTCCGCAGCTCTGAGGAGGGGCGTACAAGGACCTGGACGGGGTGTCTCAGTTCTAGTGATACAAGAGTGCAGAACCACTTTCCTCACTTTCAGCACAGCCGCAGTGCATTTTCTCCCGCGAATCTTCCACTTGCTTTAAAAATACTGTTCAGATGCTTTTTGTCCCCGTTTTAAAAAGGCCCTGAGCAGTGTGTATGTGTGTGTGTGTGTGTGTGTGTGTGTGTACGCGCGCGCGCGCGCGCGCGCGTGTGCGTGTGCGTGTATTTCTGTGCTTTTTGGAAGATTCCCTGAAGATGGACTCCAGAACTCCAGGTAAAGCCAGGCAACTTTCTGAGCTGTTCAGGTGGTGCAAAGGTTTAGGAGTAGGAAACAGTTGCCTGTAGCCGTTCCTGAGTCCATCTACCTATTTAAAAAACCATGCAAAGAAAGCTAGGAGAAGTTATTTGCACTAAGGTGCCATGTGTTTTCCATACACTTTTGGTTGCATTTTATTGAAACTCAGTACATACATCTGAACTGCTCCTTTGCAATGTTTGCCCTCTCTGTGGACAACTACCACACTATGTGTAGGACAGCATCTACTCCCTTCTCTGTAGTAGGGACTCTTGTAAATACTTGGGTTAGCTGATCACCCTAAAAAACAGAGGTCAAAATGTTTGCTGGGTTTCTTCAGTCTCAGGGCACTAAGACAAATATTCATCAGATATCTATTGTTAATGCAGATCTTATCATTACTAACCTACTCAAATAATTCAATCTTACTGATATTTATGTCTATGTTGTCATGCAACAGAAAATACATTGGAGACTCAGGGATTTATTTAGTTTATTAGATATCTACATTGCCATTTCCCCCTTCCTACTAAATAAGAAAAAAATGAGCTACTGACCGAAACTTCACCAATGTTAAAATTGACACAGCCCTGCTGTATGCCCTTCCTTTGCAAGCCAAAGTATATTTTAAGACATTTTGGTATTAAGAGTGAAAGTTGATTGAGTTGTTAATTAAATGAAATGAACAAAAGGAATTCAGAATAGTTATTCCCTTATAAATATCTTCCTCCTAGATTTGTAATTGACACAGTAGTTAATCTTTTAAGATAATATTTAAGGCTCCCTGGTTTTATCATTTTTAATCAAGTAAAATATATTCATCATAACTACATTAAAGCTGCACCAAGTTATGCCTAATTTAGTTGCTTCATTAAAAATTACTGCATATAAAATAGTCAAGAAACAAATTGTGACTATATTATGTTAATTTCATGTGCTTCAAGCAGAGACAGAAATATTGAAAAATTCAAAGACTTTGTAAACATTATAATTATTATTGTTTTTATTTTAGGTTTAGACTTCTTACTTGAATGGAGAACACTTCCAAAATTCACAAATTTTAGCTCTTTCATGTAGTTTTCAGTTTCTAGTTATTGAATTTTGCTATTTGTTTTACCACTGCAATATCTGTCATACTTAATGAAGACAGTTAAGACATGTGGGAAGAGTGCTTTCTCCTTCCTACACATTTTTAAATGTCCTGTTTTGGTAATTTACAATGCATAATTTTGTTTAGAATATATTTCTTGATCCTTTCTGAATATTTTATACTTAACTAGAAATAAACCATCAGTTATGTTATTTTGTATTCCCCAAACTGTATTGTACATATGGTTATGTGAATGTATTTATTTTCTCTTTTAGAGTGAAGTAAATGTTTATGCTTCATCAAAATGTGGCGATCTAAGGCACTCTGCATTTTCCTAAAAATTTAAATACTGAATTCTTCAGTGCTTCTAATAACATTTACATTTATTTCAACTGAACGGAATCCATTTCTGTAAACAGTTATGAGTATTTAAGTAAAAGTATTTCTTAGAAATCATAAAAACATTTATATGTTTGTCAGCTATCCAGCAGCAAGTCATATCTCAAGTGCCATAATAATACACTAATATTATATACTGGTCCTTGTGAAGTACAGTGTTAGTAACTTCATTTGAATAACTATGCAATTTTCTGTTTTCCTGCAGCTTAAATTTTTGCTTTAGGTTCTGGGCCTGAAGATTGGAAGCTCAGTTTTGATTAATTTGAGTGGCAATTAGTCACATGGTGCTGTATACAATCTGAAGAACTGATATAGTTTCACTTAAGGTGGCCTGTTTACCTGTTTTTCCCAAAGGTCTGCACCTTTCAGGTTAGCAGTAAGGCCATGGGGTGTTAATGATGAGAGGTATTCTCAATTAGACAAAGCTTTCATACTAGCAAACCAGGTAAGGAGACGTGGCATTTTGGATGATTTAAATTCCATAAGTAAATCATAGCTCATTATATTCTGAGTTTGTTATACTCTGATTTCTCTTCAAATCATATAAATCTTTCACCTTTTATATTCTGAGTTTGTTAGTCTATACATAAAGAGTATTTTAAATGATTATGAGTCTTAGGGGGCATTGGCAATCCTTGGATAATATGACACTAGGCATGATGGAAAGATTGGCAGTTTTAGCTTAATTCAGGAAGTAGTGTGGTGGAGAACGTTGAAAAAGAGGTCAAAAGCTACCTTTGAATATTGGAACATCCAGAAAAAGTATATTAACTTTTAGCATGTGAACCTATTGGAAATGGAAAATGTGAAGGGTACTTTCAGCCTCCTCTTGCTTAAGAAAGTATTGAACAAAGGTTCTGACAGAGATGCTGTAGTATAGAATTTTGTATTGGGTTGGGAATTGCCTAGAGTACCTGCCATGTATTCTGTAGCTCTAAGTGTATCAAGAAAAGGCAGCTACCATACTACTCTAGAAGCTGTGCTGCAGAGAGGCATGTTTCTTACCTGAACAGAGGCAAGGAATTTCCTAGAGAGTGCAGGTGCTTTTGGTGCTGTGTAGGTGCTAGACACCTCCTAGTGAAAAGAAAGCTTTTATTTTTTTGTCTACTGGACATGAGCCCCAAATTTTTCTACGTAATGCTATCTTTTCTTTCTTAGTTTCTAGGGGGCTGGCGGGTTACCTCAGTTGTCTAAGTTGCCTTCTTGAGCAATATCAGTTAGGGGCAAGGGACTGGGGTTCTATCCCCAGCACCACATGCTGCACCAGACCCACCCTTAAGGCATTCTGAGCCAGCCAAAAAAAAAAAAGAAAAGAATCCTTCTTTCTTAGTTTCTAAAGGATAGGAGAGGGGTAATGGGAAGAAAAAAGGAGGAGAAGAAGAGAGAGAAATGGGAGAGAGATGGAGAGAGAGGGCACTCCTAGCATATGGCTGAGATTGATTACATAATTATGAAAGAAAGTTGAATAAAGTTATTTTCCTTTTATTGTTCTCTGTTTGTTCATAGGCAGTCTTCATGATCAGCGCTTTAAGTCGTGGTTCATTTTAAAGCATGGGTGCAAGTTCAGAAAATGTTCAAAAGGAAAGAAGAAAGCAACTGTTATCAAAGTCTAGCTTGTGCTTTGTGTAATAAATAGTAAGAAGTAAAACAAGTTAACCTCAATATGTGGACTGGTGGTGAGAAAGGCCAGGTTTAGAAAAAGCACAAAATACTCAGGTCAGGAGAGAAGAGCTAATATTTATTACATGAATCACATGGCTTATCAGCCTAATTTCTATTTCTTTTCAAAATCCCACATGTTACAGACTATTTGTCCTCCTCTCCCACCACCCACATTGTTTTCTGATCTGTTGAGAACCAGAGGCTCAGAAAGTTGAAGTAATTTGCCTAAGATCACAAACTTAAAGATGATAGATCCAGGGTTCAAACTGAGATACAAACACTAAAGTGTAAATTCATTAAGTGCAGGAATTTTCTTGACTTTATTTTTGTTCAGTGGTGAATGGACAAAATCTAGAACCTTGTGTGGTAAAAAGTCGATGCTTGCAATGGCTTTGTGATGGAATAAGTGGACTTTTGAGCTTTGTGTCTGCACAGCACCACATAGCTACAACCTGCTTCCTATGGGACATGAAATGAAGAGCTATGAAGGTTGGCTCCGAGAGTTAAAAGATGGTGTAAAAATTTTATGAAGTAATAATAGCCTTATTTGGCTCACCATAGAGCTTAACAAAATACATTCGCAATAAATATTTTGTGCTTCAGGTAGTGTGAACCTGAATGAAATAGAATAGAAAGGCTGGGTGAAGAACACACATCAGCAGAGGGAATGAGGTCTAGGGAATGATCTCATGGTGGTGATGTTCGGCCTTGTTGGTGAG